TTGTGCAACCCCCTTGAAGGTTGGTTTGCTCCGCAAAGTCGGCCAAAGTAGTAAAGAGGATCAACATAACAAGATGATGAAGACACAATTCCTCTTACCTTCACTGGCTGGACAAGCTTTACAAACTCCTGTATCTCCATAAAGCATGAATGATCAGAATATGGAACTGAATATATATACTTGTGAAACCTGTCTGCAGATCCTAAATTGTCATTCCTCTTATCTGTTTGCATTCCACCATTTGCACCTTTTTGGCTTCTGTTGTAAGGAGTTAAAAGAGAACCAAAAAGCTTGTCTTTTCCTTTGAAGGGTTTAACCAGCCATGGAAGACCAGATGGCATAATTCCTATGGTTGGGCGCATTGTATTTAATCGTTCTAAAGTGTCAATGCTAAAACTGTAACGAGGAACAGCTCGCACTCTAGTGAGAGAAGTTTTGGTTGTGAATATGTCATGGAATCCAAGAAGGTGCATGGTTTGCAGGCGCTCTGGCCACACCCAAATCTTTAAAGAATAAAACAAAATATATAGAGTAACCATCTGTTTTAGAAATACACAGAAAAGTTACAAGCACCAACTTATTTCTTATGTAAAAGGAAAAGACGAATGCGAATGCCTTAGTAGAAATTAACATTTTTGCGATATAAAGGTTGTAGTTTGAATACTTATAATGCATGTACAAGGGAGGACAACTGGAAAGATACAACATGGAAACCAGAACAATTATGGGCAAACAAAGACAGTTAGCTTCATAAATATGTTAAACTACTTAAACCAACAAATGATTGGTAACCCACCCATTTTTCAGATATTATATATCAGTAAGAATTATACCAGCAAGCAATTAAGTTCCAAATTATCTGAAGATGATTTCCAAAGTTAGATCCATTGTGACTCTGCTGCATGTGTCAACGTTTTTATTTGGAGGAAACATCATGATGGTTAATTGATTATTATATAAGAACTTCATATGTTCATCTACAATAAGGATAAGCAAACCTTTATATTGAGCAGACGTGAAATGTGAACTAAAAGTTCTTCTTTCCCCAACGTGTCAATCCCAATTATGATGTCGTGGTTGGGATGGGAGGCAATTATATCAGCAACCTGTTTTCAGCAGGGAATCCAACCACCAAGAATCAGTACACATAAATATTACCTAGGTTCAGTACCACAATCATTAACACAGTATCATCCTAGAGTGAACTGCCTACTTGAACAACCACAAGCTTAGGAGATACTATCCTAGAAGCACCAAATTTCCAGAGGTAAAGCACCCAATGATAATCAGTATTACTATAATAATTTATAAACACAATGACATGATGTTAAAAGTAAAGCAAAGTTAATATATAGTTTTCCTTCTATATATTGCTAGGACTTTTGGCTCACATGTAGAAACACGCGTACACATATTAACGATTATTATAGTTAATGTTTTCCAATAACCGACAAACATTAGAATGTGAAAGCGCACCTGCTGAGCAGCAACTTCTCGAGAAGGAAAATCGTATGATGGATTACAATATGTGTTATCCAAGTAAATAATGTCGACTGCATCCTCCTTTAAAGCTTTGAGTAGTGTGTTCCTTGCTGTTTTGGCCCTCTCGCCGTCTGTTTCCCAGCGGAAATCACCGGTGTAAAGCAGGCACCCAAACTCTCCACGGAATAACAGCATAATTGAACCTTCCAAATACAATAAAATAATAATAATAATAATAATAATCGGCCAAAAAAAGCGGTTAAAATGAGAGTAACTGACCAGGGCAATGGTGAGCGTCAATTGCCATAACTTGGACAACGGTTTTTTCTCCGGAAGATGGCGACATCAGTGAAATTGAATGCCAAGAGCCAATATCGAGGACGCGAAGCAACGAGAGGTTTAACCCGGGGAACTTTAAGGGGAAGAGCTTGGCTGTGAGCCGTGAGCAGAAGAGTGGGCCTCTGGTCCATGACGATGTTAGGCCCTTCGTGTGGTCTGAGTGCAGGTGAGTTAGGAAGTACGCCTGGCTTCCCTGTGTCCACTGATAGACGGAGATTAGGCCTTTCTCCATCGCCCACAGCACAACGGTGGCGTATTTGGGAAGATAGACGAGAGAGAGGGAGGGAAATTTTTTAACCGGATATTTGAACGAAATGTTGGGTTTTATAGCGGCAACCAGTGAAGATTGTTAGGAAAGCCGGATAAACATAGGTAGAGTTTATTTTAAAGACATGTTTCACGTAAATAAAGAGTTTTTTTATTAATTTCTAAATATAAGGAATGAAATTTATATTTAAATCATACTTTAACAAATAAAAGAAAAACTTAATAAAAGAGTGAATTAATAATAAAATATATAGAAACTTATAATTTATTAAATAAAATAGGGATAGAGAATAAAATTTAACTCGTAAAGAGTCAAACTCATTTTTTAATTTATATTTACAGAATAAAAAGTCTATTAGACTCTTGTTTTTATGGACAAACACTTTATAATAAAAAATTTAAATTATATGAAGGGTCATTTGGACTTGGAGATGCTCTTAGATTGACAAAACCTTTTTCACTAATTTTATCGTATAAATGCGACGTGTCAGTTTGTAATTGATTGGATAGGACATATGGTTGGACAAGCGGGACTCATTACGAGTTGATCAATTGTGAGCTGACACGTCGTATTTATTAGAAAAATGTAGTGAAAATGGTTTATCAATGTTGACTGTTGTGTTTATATATAGCCAGTTCCTTTCTAGTCTAACAAAATTCTATGAATTGTAGTTAACAAATTTTATAAATAAATAGATGTTGAAGTAATGGTAATTATATTATATCTATCTGTTATACCTAAAAAATTAGGACTGACGTAAGCTTATATCAACAGACACCAATCAAAGTTTAGAAAGGCTTTGTGGCGTCCAAGAGCTACCAAGTCGTCCCAAGACAGAGATGATACGGTCGTCACCAACCCAGTAAATTTAGGTTTTGTTATGAGGGGGGGGGGGGGGGGGGGGGTGAATGGGGATTGTACACTCGTCCAAGGCCTAGATAATTTGAGAATATTTTTTAAATTATCAGCCAATGAGACGCAAGGAATGACTTGTACGACACATATCCACTTGCAAACTTGTAATCATTACCTTGAATTCAATAGTTATAAATAAAAGACCCCCCCTCTCAAATTTGGGATCCCTGATTTTCATACAAACCAATAGCAAAGACAATCTAATAGAAAGAGACTAGCTTAACATTCTCTCTAAATATACAGTTATTATATCTCTGTTCGTCATATGCCACTTCTAGTAATGCATTTATATAAAAAAACAGTGAATATTATAGGAATAACTTTGAGCATCCGAATCACTATAAAATTCTCAATGTCTTATTTATTATTAGGTTTTTGCATTCAATTGTGTTTATAATCTTGTTCTAGCTCTTAAATCAATTAATCTCATATAATTTTTAAGACTTGTTTAATATTTTACCCGTACGACATTGTAATTAAGTGAGACAATTAAAGGTCGTGGTTTGCAAAATGTAAAAGAAAACTAAATAAAATAAGGTCAGAGTTGTTGAAAACACGAGAGCTAACTCAGTTTTAACATTTATACATCAAAATTCATTTTTCCAAAGTTCCAACTTTATTTTCCCATTATTTATTTATTTATTTTTTGGTGTTACTGGAACCAACTGGATTAAGATTATAAAAACTTGCAATTACTTGATTAAATAAAATGTATACACTTGCAATTATGGACATATAATTGGTTCCATTTGCTTTCCCAACCAAAAAAACAGAATAAATAAAATTACATGTATAAATTTCTCTTGATAAGAAATTTGACACTCCAGCTGAAAACCAATGAGCAATTCGCTGCCACGGCAAACTGCCTGCAACTGCAAGTCACGTGAAACCACTTTAGCAATTAGCATAAATTAAAGTGACATTGTAGATACAATCTCAATCTCAATCCTATGGTATTGGTTTGTTAACATCATCTTAATGTTAATCTTAAAATATAAGATAAATAGAATAAATTGTCACATTAAATAAGACATAAAAATCTCAAACTTTATGCATATACACTACTATTAAGATTTTTACAAGCATAAATCTCAAATTAAACTAATTTTTTTGATAATTAAACCAAAATTAGATTTTGTAATTGAAACTACAACTTAAATTTGCAATACTAAATTAAAACCATCATCACAAACTCAGAGTGACAGCTTGTTTGAAGAACACGCATCTTATCTTGAAAATCAATAAACGAACATGACAGGACATAGGTGAGTGCACCAACAGAAAAACATTAACAGTAGAAACGATAAATTCATGGAAAGGTGAGTGCTGGAAATAGCATTACAGCTTACAGCTATCTCCAGCATACAATTGATGGCTCCCTTTCTACTCCTTGTGGGTTCAATGTTTCTTCCTTTTTATTGTTGCTCTCACTGTTGGTCATTTTCCCTTAGTTTTCATTCAAGGCTGGCAATCTCACTTTCCAACTACACCATGACAAAGCAACGCTCTTGAGTTAATGTTTTCTGTAACTTGTCCTAACACGAGTAATGCTACAGTCACTGAAGGTTGCGCACCGAATCTGTGCACTGAATGACGTGACAAAATCATGACCGTTGATTCATTATCAGTTAATATTAATCAACGGTCAAGATTTTGCTATGTTATTCGGTACACAGATTCGATGTGTAACCTTCGGTGGCTCTATCATTTTCCGTCCTAACACTTTTATCAAATTTTGAAATCTATCTCTTCACTTGACTAGACATAGTTTTGTGTCAACGTTATTTTGGTATATAGAGGATAGAATGGTAACTACAACAAATAATTATAATGTGGTTTCAAAACAAAATCTATTAATGCTCATGATAATAACACCTAACACGTGAATGGTGCCAAGCAACCCCAATCTATAATGGAGTATGAATCTCCATCTTTCAGTAATAACTATAAACTTAATAAGTACAACACTTCCCTCTTCACAAAATTCACGTTACCCTCCAAAACTCAACTCAACTCGACATTCAACAATGACCTCACACAACCACCACCTAAATAATCAATCGGAACCCGACCGTCCCCTTCTCCCAACAATCATAGCAAAACCCTCCTCCTCCCCACGTCTTCCTCTCATAACTACCCCAACCGCCGGCGCTCAACGCAAGATCGCAATCGCCGTCGACCTCAGCGACGAGAGCGCCTACGCTGTCCGATGGTCTGTAGAAAATTACCTCCGTCCCGGCGACGCCGTCGTCCTCCTCCACGTCCGGCAAACCTCCGTCCTCTACGGCGCCGATTGGGGATTCCTCAATCACCAATACGTTCCGAGAAACAGCGACAACAGCCAACAACAGGTGAACGATGAAAGCGATTTAACGGATTCGACGGCCAAGAACATAGCGGAACCGTTAGAGGAAGCGAGGATACCGTACAAGATACACATAGTGAAGGACCACGACTTGAAGGAGAGGCTGTGTTTGGAGGTGGAGAGATTAGGGTTAAGCGCGATGATAATGGGGAGTAGAGGGATTGGTGGGGCCGGGAGGAGGAGTAGTGTGGGGAGGTTAGGGAGTGTGAGTGATTATTGTGTGCATCATTGTGTTTGTCCTGTTGTTGTTGTTAGGTATCCTGAAGAGAGTAAAACTCGAGATAATGGAGTTGGAGAGGAGGCGGCGGTGGCGGAGCTCCATCCGGTGCCGGAGGAGGATATGGAGTATCACGATGTCTCTGAGTAATTTTAAAGGTTTGTGCTCTGGAATTTTTTGCTTGATTGAGAAATTTTACCATACATTGAATGTAAAATTTGTTGTTAACATGTATGACTAGTAATATGACGAAATAAGAATGTTTGATGTCAATCGCTAGGATACTGTAGATTGACCGTTTATTTATTTATTTTGGGATTTTCTTTTGATGAATCTGAGTTATGGTTACGTTTTGGTAGGAATAAGATGATTTGGGGATGTTATCAGAGGTGAACTTTAAGATAGTTTGCACTGAAGTTAAATGATGTTTTCTAGTGTAAAGGCAATAAAGCATGTTAGATTGTTAGTTAGAGTGAGTGAGAGAGCATCGAAGTGGGTGATCATGAGAAGTTACAAGCAGCAACAATTGAAGTATGTTCTGAAGGATGGCATGTGTAGGATGCTGAAAATTTTCAAGAATCTTTCCAGCTACTTAGCTGGTTCAATTACAGCATATGTTTGTTCGCACTTCCACATTTTAGAAACCACCGTTATTTAGCTTTGCTATCGTCTATTTTCTCTTTGTTTTTATTAGTTTCCTATTGATGTCTTCTGTGTCTGTGCTGAAACCTTTTTCTGTTGCTATTAGAAACTACTGATTTTGGAAACTAGAGAAGTAAGATCCTATAGTTTGTAAGATATGATTGACCAAAATAAGAGAAGGCTGGTGAGGTTTTGTGGAAAAGTGTTCTTTGATAAATCCATTTTTATAGAATTAGTTCATTTATTCTACGATTTGTTATACTGCTATGCTTTATCTGATATGTAGTGCTAATGGACTATGCTTCGTTCAAAGTATTCCCATCTTTTATATTACTGATGCTTTCATCTTTGAACTTACTGTATCTTAGATTAATTATGGGATATTCTAGAGATTACAATTATATGAAGTATGTATTGTTATGTGGTTTAAAGCCTTGCTTATAATAGTTTGAAGCAAGGTCCCGTCTAACTCCTCTCTTTTTTTTTTTAAACACCATTTCATATCTCGTCAGTGTAATGCTTGTATCTTCCTGAATGTTGAGGTCATGCATAAATGTTGCAGTGTTGTTTAGAATTCTGCTAAACTGCAATGGTGGTTGTCCAGTTTTATAATCAAACAATGTAAATGTTCTTATGCTTTTTTTATGGATTGTATGCATAAAAGAGTATAATCTACATGTTATTATCTTGGAATAACATTGTTCTGCTGTCTCCAGGAAAACTGATATATTATGTGATTTACATCAATTTTGCAGAAGATGAAAGCAACAAAAAAAATGTGAAGTCTGCAGAACAGCAAAGTCCGAAGAACACAGGATATATTTTCTTAATTAAAAGAAAGAAACCAGAATGTAATTTTATTGTGTGCTTTGAAGTTTGATATATGCCTTGTAAAATAGTGCTGGTGGTAAATTTGATGTAGTTAAGGACTCCCATTTACTGTATTTTCTTGCCAGCCACCTTCTCAAATATGAAGTGTTGCGTATTAACCGTGTATTTTATGTTTTCGTTTGTCGAGCAAACATATTACTGTTGTCTTTGACAAAGTTGTGTTATAGCTTTTCAATGTATATGTTACTTTTGTCTTTGGCAAAGTTGTACTATTACTCAATAGCCACATCTTTATGAAGATCTATTTCAACAATCAAAAGTAAATTTTGTCAACACCAATACGGGTATGCGCATAATTTTTTTTATTAAAATCAATAGACAAAAGAATTTAAAGAAAAATTAAAACCATGCTGATCAATTAAATGCAACATAAATACAATATAACTAGACTATATATATACACACACGTTATTAAGCTACTTTCATCTTTACAAGATTGGTTATCACATAATTTCATAAATTCTTTTCTAATAACAATTGACTCCCGGTAAGATACAAAAAGGAATTGAAGCCTTTTTAAATCCTCTTAGAACTGCCCCTCAAAACACTAGATTCAACATAAGCATACCTAATAAAGTCCAATAATAATGAGCTAAAATGACAGCAAATGTACCTGGATAATGAATTTGAACATTAAGTCGTTCAAATATTTATTTTGATATGATGCAGACACCAAAACCACGTAAAGAAAATAGAAATTCTACTAACCAGATTGTTTACAAACACAAAAAATAAAAACATCTCAGAGACCACCTCCTATAGTTCCTTCACTTCGACTCCTGCGGATAGAAAGCTCTGATTTAAGGTTTAATAGTTTGTTACCAAGATCAATATAATTCTGTCGATGACTGGTCGTTGCTTTAGTTCCAGTTGGTGGCAGGCGCACATGTCTACTTCTTGGTCGTTTTGGTGGTGACACCACAGTTTGATTTTTACGGCCGTGAGTTGATGAAGACAATGGCCGATGACTACCTACACCATGACTACTCTTCCTAGTAGCTTTGTTATCTGATCTAAGGCCACGATCAAACTGATGGGCGCTGATGCCCAGCCGAACTGATCGATCAGCAGTATCTTTCAAAGTACTTGCTTTCATAGGCTGCCGGTTGAGGTAAACCAGATTTGGAAGAACGCTTTGTAGATATTTCTTCAGGTGTTCATCACCGACATTCTTCTGAGCTGGGTTTCCTTCCAAGCTGACAGCCTGCAAGGAATTGTAGTTGGCTGCAAGTTGACCAAGGCATTTGGCTGTAGAAATTTTGTTGAAACGGAGATCCAGCACAGTCAATTTCAAGAGGCGGTGAAGACCCTCAACCTCACTAATTTTATTTCCAGCCAAATATAACTCTTTCAGAGAGGAACATGATGCCAAACCTGACAATAAAACCACCCACAGAAGACCCAAGTTAGAACTCAAAAACATGATGAGAATAACACAACTAACAACTTTCAACTGGATAAAGTATGAACCATACCATGTCCAATTCTAAATATTCTATTATAGCTCAGGTCAAGAACACGGAGGCGGGTAAGCTCACGTAAGCCCTCAATTGTGGAGATATTATTTTTTGACAAATTCAACATATGAAGTCCCCGAGGAAGTGCACCGGCAGTGATCCTCACTACAAGAAGCAAGGAAACAGGTAAGAGCAAAATAATTATCAGACTGTGATTCAAACTCCAAAATATACTGCTATTGCATACTAGAGGAAGATAAATAAATCAAGATAACTACCGCTATTAGAGATACAAACCTATGGCATTTCCTGAAAGATTAAGCACCTTCAGGCTGACAAAGGCGCTAAGAAATGGGATGACAACCAACCCATGATTTGACAGCTGAGCTGTAGTTGCTGAGCCATTCAGAGAAGCAATATACCTTTTAGCAGCTTCCATGCCAGGAGTAACCTTACCATCCACCTTAGCAAAATTCAAACCATTCAAGACATCACGATCTTTCTTGATCTGATCGTTAGAAAGAGATGAATCATTTGTTTCTTCCAACGGGCTGCACAGACTGCAATGTTGAAGATCATTAACCCATTCCTCGATCCGCTTAATCTTAAAATCCTTGCTTGGCAAGTTATCCGACTTCTGAGTTGAGGATTCTCCATGAAGGTTTTTAACTGAGTTCACCTCATCTGGTATTATCCAGTCCTTTGCTGAAGCAGAATAACTACTGGAATCAAAACAGTCTTCACCAGGAGTGTCAAAGTGGTTTTCCACAGTTTTACATATGTCATCTCCTCTTTCTTGCTTTTGCCTAACCAGTGAGTCAACATCATGAACCGACATATCCTTCCACCTCATGTCTAGAGCTTGTAGATCATCAGCAGATCTGGAATTAGGAGCTAAATTTTTAAGAGAAGAGCACACTCCAGAAGAACACATAAAACCACTAATGTTGGTTGATGATTGTGATTTTCCAATTGTTGGAGTACGAGAGATATGTTCAACATAATCAGCAGCACAGTCCTCAAGACCAGATATTGGAGCATCAATATTTTCATGCGCCTTTTTTTCTGAATTCTGAGGATCTCCAATTGAGAACATTGATTCCATATTCACATGATCAGAACCAACTTGAACAGACTCTGATTGTGCAGTTTTCTGATACTTACTGGGTATGCTTGCCACTGGATTATTGCTGCCATTCTGAACTACCAAACCATTCTGGTCATGGGAATCAGAAGAGAATCCTTGATCAGTCTCCAACTCAGTATCATTTTCACCAGGACTTCTCCCCTCCCAGCACAGTCTACTTCCTAGAGACCGACTCTTTTTCAGATGCCCCAACTCGTTGAACGGCATATCGATCTCCAAACTGAATTTGCTCTTTATTTCCTCAGATTTCCAGCCACGTTCAACAAAGGAAGAACTTGAAACATGTTTCTCATCACCATTAATTTGAGTATCTCCCGGTGCACTCAAAAATAATTGTTTTAAGTGTGTAGAGTTAGGTGAATCTCTCATGGTCTGAATTTGAGAAAATTCCCGGAAACTTGACGGCATTGCTTCAACTGACGGTTGAACTGTTTTCTGATGGACAGAGTAAAATTCATAGTCAGAAATAAAAGGACCATTAACCCAGAAGTACTAAATCTTAATAAAACATAACTAATCTTACCTTTGGTTTTGGGCAATAAATGTTACTACTGAAGCATGAAAACCTAACCATTCTGGAAATAGTGACCAGAGCTACATTCACACAAGATCTACTTTTTGTGTCACATAAAAAGCTATGGATAACCAACTATCCCGCTCATTAATGTACAGAAGCCTGAAAAAAAAACCTGAATATTCTTCGATGAAAAGAAAAGCTACAATCAAGCTTCTGCTGACTTAGCCAAAGGTGACCTTAGCCATAATCAAGCGACAAACCCTCTGAAACACGGCACAATCTCCAAATATGCGATGACCTTGATCTTCTTAAAACACAAAGTAATATTACCCCCTCGTGATCACCCCACACCCGCTTAGAGGTGCGAGAAGCTTTCGACTTTGCTGCAGCGGCCAGAGTGAAAAAGGATCTTTTGCAACTAGGCAAACCCGAATCTTAACATATATAGGAGACCCTGGCCTTAAAAAAAATGAAATAAATCAACAATCAAACAACTTGATTGAGAGACCATGTAGACTAGTTAATGGAAGCATAATAACGAAGAAATGCAATAATTTCATAACACGTTTTACTACCAGGAGTGCTACAGAGGATATTCTAACAATCAAAATTAAAAACTATACCAAAGTTGAAAAATTACAGTGCTTTTCTTAATGCATAAAGGGTTACAGTTTCTTCCAGGAAAGAGTGTGAAAAGAAGCTTAGTTCTTTTTTTGACAAGAATAAAGCTTCATTATTAAGCATTACTCTCATGAATTGTTCTTAAATTATGTAATTTATTATTCTTTTCAAGAAGAAACATTCATATGCCTAACTTTATAATAGTTAACTTCAAATCACTACTAGTCTATCTGAGAAACAGGAGCTTCCCTGTTAACTAATAGTATACTGCAGGGTCCAGAGGGACCTCATAAAATATAACCAATATACCTATATCATTATGATTGTCGTTGAAACGGAGATCCAGCACAGTCAATTTCAAGAGGCGGTGAAGACCTCAACCTCACTAATTTATTTCCAGCCAAATATAACTCTTTCAGAGAGGAACATGATGCCAAACCTGACATAAAACCACCACAGAAGACCCAAGTTAGAACTCAAAAACATGATGAGAATAACACAATTACAACTTTCAACTGGATAAAGTATGAACCACTACCATGTCCAATTCTAAATATTCTATTATAGCTCAGGTCAAGAACACGGAGGCGGGTAAGCTCACGTAAGCCCTCAATTGTGGAGATATTATTTTTTGACAAATTTTATTTATTTATTTTGGGATTTTCTTTTGATGAATCTGAGTTATGGTTACGTTTTGGTAGGAATAAGATGATTTGGGGATGTTATCAGAGGTGAACTTTAAGATAGTTTGCGCTGAAGTTAAATGATGTTTTCTAGTGTAAAGGCAATAAAGCATGTTAGATTGTTAGTTAGAGTGAGTGAGAGAGCATCGAAGTGGGTGATCATGAGAAGTTACAAGCAGCAACAATTGAAGTATGTTCTGAAGGATGGCATGTGTAGGATGCTGAAAATTTTCAAGAATCTTTCCAGCTACTTAGCTGGTTCAATTACAGCATATGTTTGTTCGCACTTCCACATTTTAGAAACCACCGTTATTTAGCTTTGCTATCGTCTATTTTCTCTTTGTTTTTATTAGTTTCCTATTGATGTCTTCTGTGTCTGTGCTGAAACCTTTTTCTGTTGCTATTAGAAACTACTGATTTTGGAAACTAGAGAAGTAAGATCCTATAGTTTGTAAGATATGATTGACCAAAATAAGAGAAGGCTGGTGAGGTTTTGTGGAAAAGTGTTCTTTGATAAATCCATTTTTATAGAATTAGTTCATTTATTCTACGATTTGTTATACTGCTATGCTTTATCTGATATGTAGTGCTAATGGACTATGCTTCGTTCAAAGTATTCCCATCTTTTATATTACTGATGCTTTCATCTTTGAACTTACTGTATCTTAGATTAATTATGGGATATTCTAGAGATTACAATTATATGAAGTATGTATTGTTATGTGGTTTAAAGCCTTGCTTATAATAGTTTGAAGCAAGGTCCCGTCTAACTCCTCTCTTTTTTTTTTTAAACACCATTTCATATCTCGTCAGTGTAATGCTTGTATCTTCCTGAATGTTGAGGTCATGCATAAATGTTGCAGTGTTGTTTAGAATTCTGCTAAACTGCAATGGTGGTTGTCCAGTTTTATAATCAAACAATGTAAATGTTCTTATGCTTTTTTTATGGATTGTATGCATAAAAGAGTATAATCTACATGTTATTATCTTGGAATAACATTGTTCTGCTGTCTCCAGGAAAACTGATATATTATGTGATTTACATCAATTTTGCAGAAGATGAAAGCAACAAAAAAAATGTGAAGTCTGCAGAACAGCAAAGTCCGAAGAACACAGGATATATTTTCTTAATTAAAAGAAAGAAACCAGAATGTAATTTTATTGTGTGCTTTGAAGTTTGATATATGCCTTGTAAAATAGTGCTGGTGGTAAATTTGATGTAGTTAAGGACTCCCATTTACTGTATTTTCTTGCCAGCCACCTTCTCAAATATGAAGTGTTGCGTATTAACCGTGTATTTTATGTTTTCGTTTGTCGAGCAAACATATTACTGTTGTCTTTGACAAAGTTGTGTTATAGCTTTTCAATGTATATGTTACTTTTGTCTTTGGCAAAGTTGTACTATTACTCAATAGCCACATCTTTATGAAGATCTATTTCAACAATCAAAAGTAAATTTTGTCAACACCAATACGGGTATGCGCATAATTTTTTTTATTAAAATCAATAGACAAAAGAATTTAAAGAAAAATTAAAACCATGCTGATCAATTAAATGCAACATAAATACAATATAACTAGACTATATATATACACACACGTTATTAAGCTACTTTCATCTTTACAAGATTGGTTATCACATAATTTCATAAATTCTTTTCTAATAACAATTGACTCCCGGTAAGATACAAAAAGGAATTGAAGCCTTTTTAAATCCTCTTAGAACTGCCCCTCAAAACACTAGATTCAACATAAGCATACCTAATAAAGTCCAATAATAATGAGCTAAAATGACAGCAAATGTACCTGGATAATGAATTTGAACATTAAGTCGTTCAAATATTTATTTTGATATGATGCAGACACCAAAACCACGTAAAGAAAATAGAAATTCTACTAACCAGATTGTTTACAAACACAAAAAATAAAAACATCTCAGAGACCACCTCCTATAGTTCCTTCACTTCGACTCCTGCGGATAGAAAGCTCTGATTTAAGGTTTAATAGTTTGTTACCAAGATCAATATAATTCTGTCGATGACTGGTCGTTGCTTTAGTTCCAGTTGGTGGCAGGCGCACATGTCTACTTCTTGGTCGTTTTGGTGGTGACACCACAGTTTGATTTTTACGGCCGTGAGTTGATGAAGACAATGGCCGATGACTACCTACACCATGACTACTCTTCCTAGTAGCTTTGTTATCTGATCTAAGGCCACGATCAAACTGATGGGCGCTGATGCCCAGCCGAACTGATCGATCAGCAGTATCTTTCAAAGTACTTGCTTTCATAGGCTGCCGGTTGAGGTAAACCAGATTTGGAAGAACGCTTTGTAGATATTTCTTCAGGTGTTCATCACCGACATTCTTCTGAGCTGGGTTTCCTTCCAAGCTGACAGCCTGCAAGGAATTGTAGTTGGCTGCAAGTTGACCAAGGCATTTGGCTGTAGAAATTTTGTTGAAACGGAGATCCAGCACAGTCAATTTCAAGAGGCGGTGAAGACCCTCAACCTCACTAATTTTATTTCCAGCCAAATATAACTCTTTCAGAGAGGAACATGATGCCAAACCTGACAATAAAACCACCCACAGAAGACCCAAGTTAGAACTCAAAAACATGATGAGAATAACACAACTAACAACTTTCAACTGGATAAAGTATGAACCATACCATGTCCAATTCTAAATATTCTATTATAGCTCAGGTCAAGAACACGGAGGCGGGTAAGCTCACGTAAGCCCTCAATTGTGGAGATATTATTTTTTGACAAATTCAACATATGAAGTCCCCGAGGAAGTGCACCGGCAGTGATCCTCACTACAAGAAGCAAGGAAACAGGTAAGAGCAAAATAATTATCAGACTGTGATTCAAACTCCAAAATATACTGCTATTGCATACTAGAGGAAGATAAATAAATCAAGATAACTACCGCTATTAGAGATACAAACCTATGGCATTTCCTGAAAGATTAAGCACCTTCAGGCTGACAAAGGCGCTAAGAAATGGGATGACAACCAACCCATGATTTGACAGCTGAGCTGTAGTTGCTGAGCCATTCAGAGAAGCAATATACCTTTTAGCAGCTTCCATGCCAGGAGTAACCTTACCATCCACCTTAGCAAAATTCAAACCATTCAAGACATCACGATCTTTCTTGATCTGATCGTTAGAAAGAGATGAATCATTTGTTTCTTCCAACGGGCTGCACAGACTGCAATGTTGAAGATCATTAACCCATTCCTCGATCCGCTTAATCTTAAAATCCTTGCTTGGCAAGTTATCCGACTTCTGAGTTGAGGATTCTCCATGAAGGTTTTTAACTGAGTTCACCTCATCTGGTATTATCCAGTCCTTTGCTGAAGCAGAATAACTACTGGAATCAAAACAGTCTTCACCAGGAGTGTCAAAGTGGTTTTCCACAGTTTTACATATGTCATCTCCTCTTTCTTGCTTTTGCCTAACCAGTGAGTCAACATCATGAACCGACATATCCTTCCACCTCATGTCTAGAGCTTGTAGATCATCAGCAGATCTGGAATTAGGAGCTAAATTTTTAAGAGAAGAGCACACTCCAGAAGAACACATAAAACCACTAATGTTGGTTGATGATTGTGATTTTCCAATTGTTGGAGTACGAGAGATATGTTCAACATAATCAGCAGCACAGTCCTCAAGACCAGATATTGGAGCATCAATATTTTCATGCGCCTTTTTTTCTGAATTCTGAGGATCTCCAATTGAGAACATTGATTCCATATTCACATGATCAGAACCAACTTGAACAGACTCTGATTGTGCAGTTTTCTGATACTTACTGGGTATGCTTGCCACTGGATTATTGCTGCCATTCTGAACTACCAAACCATTCTGGTCATGGGAATCAGAAGAGAATCCTTGATCAGTCTCCAACTCAGTATCATTTTCACCAGGACTTCTCCCCTCCCAGCACAGTCTACTTCCTAGAGACCGACTCTTTTTCAGATGCCCCAACTCGTTGAACGGCATATCGATCTCCAAACTGAATTTGCTCTTTATTTCCTCAGATTTCCAGCCACGTTCAACAAAGGAAGAACTTGAAACATGTTTCTCATCACCATTAATTTGAGTATCTCCCGGTGCACTCAAAAATAATTGTTTTAAGTGTGTAGAGTTAGGTGAATCTCTCATGGTCTGAATTTGAGAAAATTCCCGGAAACTTGACGGCATTGCTTCAACTGACGGTTGAACTGTTTTCTGATGGACAGAGTAAAATTCATAGTCAGAAATAAAAGGACCATTAACCCAGAAGTACTAAATCTTAATAAAACATAACTAATCTTACCTTTGGTTTTGGGCAATAAATGTTACTACTGAAGCATGAAAACCTAACCATTCTGGAAATAGTGACCAGAGCTACATTCACACAAGATCTACTTTTTGTGTCACATAAAAAGCTATGGATAACCAACTATCCCGCTCATTAATGTACAGAAGCCTGAAAAAAAAACCTGAATATTCTTCGATGAAAAGAAAAGCTACAATCAAGCTTCTGCTGACTTAGCCAAAGGTGACCTTAGCCATAATCAAGCGACAAACCCTCTGAAACACGGCACAATCTCCAAATATGCGATGACCTTGATCTTCTTAAAACACAAAGTAATATTACCCCCTCGTGATCACCCCACACCCGCTTAGAGGTGCGAGAAGCTTTCGACTTTGCTGCAGCGGCCAGAGTGAAAAAGGATCTTTTGCAACTAGGCAAACCCGAATCTTAACATATATAGGAGACCCTGGCCTTAAAAAAAATGAAATAAATCAACAATCAAACAACTTGATTGAGAGACCATGTAGACTAGTTAATGGAAGCATAATAACGAAGAAATGCAATAATTTCATAACACGTTTTACTACCAGGAGTGCTACAGAGGATATTCTAACAATCAAAATTAAAAACTATACCAAAGTTGAAAAATTACAGTGCTTTTCTTAAGGCATAAAGGGTTACAGTTTCTTCCAGGAAAGAGTGTGAAAAGAAGCTTAGTTCTTTTTTTGACAAGAATAAAGCTTCATTATTAAGCATTACCCTCATGAATTGTTCTTAAATTATGTAATTTACTATTCTTTTCAAGAAGAAACATTCCTATGCCTAACTTTATAATAGTAAACTTCAAATCACTACTAGTCTATCTGAGAAACAGGAGCTTCCCTGTTAAATAATAGTATACTGTAGGGTCCAGAGGGACCTCATAAAATATAACCAATATACCTATATCATTATGATTGTCGTGAACTCGTTTGATACAAGTTTTTTGAATACCAGCATTCGACGAGACAAAGATGAGTAGTGACCCAGATGAAAAAAACAAGATAAAATCAAAATATAAACGTCCATATACACAATAAAACTTATATCATAAGAATCAAACCGTGGGTACATACATTTTTTCGACATAAAATCTTCAACTAAACACAATACGGTTTAAATATATTGACGAGGTCTTAAAACAACAAATCCTAGATATACAAAATGACAAACAATATTAAAAAAGGATGATACAAAAATAAAACTTACCTCTCTTTAGCCAGATTTCGTTTCGAGAAGACAACGCAGAACGAAAAACCCAAACATAAAACACGTAAATTGTTTTGTTAGCAATATCTAATTATATAAAGAAACCGCTTTGAGATTAATAAGCTTAAACGCTAATAACCCTAAGTTTTGGGGGTGGCTTTGATTTATAGCCCAAATCAACGGCCCTGATTTAAACCAATTAAAGGGTATTTCCGTGTATGAACGGAGAAAATAAAATAAAGTTTGAATTGGATTCTGCTGGGTTAAATTTTTATATGGCATAATCAAAAGAGGTAGAGAGAAGGAAAGTTTAGGAGGATTTTTTAAAGGAAATAACAGAGAGAAAATTAATGTCCACAGGTTGATGGATGATGGGTTTGGTGAATTGGAAGGAAAGAGCGGATCTTGTCTTTATGCACCACAAAATTTGCCGCCTGACTTGCAGCTTCCTAAATGTAGAGGGAATTTTGATTGTCGTTTATCTTTGGCTTTGGCTTTGGCTTTGCTTTTGCTTTAGGCTTTAGCTTCCAAAAAAATGCTTTTCTGATTTGTTCTGTTTCTGCTTTAAAGATATTACCAACAATTTCTTATTTTAAATACTACATCTTTAATCATTCTTGAACCTAATTTAACTACTTCTTTACGTATCGTATGACGAGATGAATTAATATAAAAAAATTAAATTAATAAATATATATTAAATGATATGATAAATCAATAGAATTGTCCCGCTACTTCATAGGAATAATTTTGTATGAATGTTTGTAAGTGTAATATTATTATTTTTGTTTTGATATTTTTCAATTTTAATTAGAGTGAGAAATTACTAATTTTTTTACTTAATGATGGGTTAACTATAGAAATACAAACTTTTTATTTAAATTTGTAATATAAACTCTTACTTTATAATACAATCTAATGCTTTAAGAAATTTAAAGGGTTGTTAAGTTGAGATTAAAAATAATTAATTTTAAGTTCTTAGATTGTATGGGAATATGGGATGATAATCAATAATATACATATTGTAACTTAAATGTAAATTAATATTAAAATAGCTTATTTAAATTATTAGTTTAATGTTTACCTAAATTCCTTGGTAGTTAGCACATATCTGTTATAAAAGTTGGAGATTTTCTACTTTTAAAATGGAAATCTATAGTGTACTTTTTTCTTTAATTTTATTCTCAAAATTCCATCCCTCATTATGACCTCATTTTTCTCAAAGTTGTTATTCTATTAAATCATCCACACTTAACATTGAATTATAAAACAATTATTCAAACTCATATAATTGAATTTATCTATATTATAAATATTAATAAAATTGCAAGTTTTATTTTAAGTATGTTGTAAATTTTATAAAATATTTCGGTGGTATTTCCAACAGTTAAAATGTCTAAAAATCTCAATAAAAGCTTATCATTTCTTAATGAATATGAAATACTTTTTTTTCTTTTAAATATCCTATTGGCCCTTGGCCGCTGACTAGCCAGCAGGCCTTGCTGGCTGCATTTTGGGCCTGTTGGCCCAAATCAAGGAAATATTAAATAAATAAATTGAATTTTTTTAATTTATGATTAAAAAGTCTAGAAACTAATTTTAATAATTTGAAATTGTAATATAATAAATTGTGTTTTTGATATAAGATTAATTTTAATATAATAAATTATAATAGTTTAAATTATTATTTGTTTAGTTATATAATAAAGTAATATTATAATTTTTTATCTTGAGATTTATTTATTTTCATAATTGAATGTATTGAACTGATAACTAATTGCAATGTTCTTTTAATAATTTAAAATTAGAAAACTACACGAGGGGGCAATAAGACATCACAATGTTGTTAACCAAAATGGGTTTTTTCAATTGCCCAAAACAAATAATATGTAATTAGAAGGTTAACCGTGTATGAAGTTAACTACATTTACCCCCTTAGGGTTTCGGTGTACTAATCTATATCTTGCAAATGAAAATAATAGCAGTAAACCCCTGGATTCTAATTTTTTTTTTTTTTTTTTTTTAATAAACAGCAATATTGTTTTCAGAGCAAAACTGAAGGAACATTACATTTTGTTGAAAGGGAATCCGGAGTGTAGTAAAAACGTAAACAACCACACCCCTTACTTAGCCCGCCTTCGCCTCTGCCGCGTATTGCCAACAGTCCCGCAGGGCCGCCGTCACCACCGCGGCCCTCTTTATCTGAAAGGTATTTTCTACTTTTAATTTATTTTGCTTACAGTTCTCTAAGTGAAATTCATCTTTTTATAGTTTTTAAAAAAGCAACTTCCCTATATTTTGTGCTCTGTATTTTGAGTTGTAGAAGAGTTTCTTTGTGGTTTTTGTTGGGTTTCTGATGATGTATTGTGTTTCATCCTGAATTCTTTTTTATCAGAACGGTAAATTTTGGATGTGGGTTTGGTTGGATGCTATATTTGTGACATTGATACAACCTTTTTCCATCTGTATTTTTGTGGTTCTTACTTCTTACTAGTTTTTGGATTGTCATGAAGTTTTGCAAGAGCTTTATACTTGTTGGGAATATCTAAGTTATATGGTTAATTATAGTATAAATTGGGAAAATTCACCTCATTGAAATGGTAACAAGACTTACAAAGTGGAAACTGATAAAAAAAGGGGATAAAAGTGATCGCTAAATATGGTCTACCCTCGAAAATTGAAGGTCAATAAGAAACTTGTTAGGTATTTAGCATTGGCCCAAATAAAATGTCGTCTTTCTTGTTGTGATAAAGAACCTCCTATGTATTTGGTGGATATAATCAAAATCTATCCTTTATTAAAAGGTCTCGAAAATGGAAAAGAAAACGGTACAGTTGCTTCCTTCTCATTGATTATATCCTATAGCAAGTGAACATAGATCGAGGAGATATTTCATGCTACCTTTGATGGACCAAAATGCTCTACTTGATGGGAACAATGGAGAGGTGACATACTCACTTTTGCATTTCTGAGAATTCAAATCTGAACCAAGCTAAATAGTAGATGTTACTTTCCATGGTTAGAAGCTTGAAGTTCTTTACCAAGTTCATTCAAGTTTTTGATACACCAATATTGTGTGTAGTTTCCCATGAAAAGTGTTTAATCTAGTAATTGAAGTTTACAAGGGATCATTCACAAAACAAAACTCATACTGAGATTAGGTTTATCTTGACATGAATAACACAACTTTATAATTAAATTTTTTTAAACTAAAAATTAGCAAGCATTGATCTAGGAAGTTTAATTTGTCTTTGACTAGGAGAGAAACACAATATTGATTTGTGAAAAGAAATATCTTTTCCTTTATTATATTAATTTATGATTGTTTAAGCTTAGTCAGTTGGATCTAATTCAGATTATGAACACTGTTCTGGAATTATTCAGGTTCATATATTTATCATCTATCACCAAAAGAAGCAACTGAAGCAGCAGCTTATTGGTCATTGTGATTGTATTATGGCTACCAAGTTTGTTCTTTTACGAAGGCTCTCAAGATTTGCAAAACCTTCTTTGACTCATAGGTCAAGATCTGTTCTGCTGGAACCTTTGAGACCTATTGGTTTCTCTGAGAATAAGTCTTCTTCTAGAAGCTTAATTACTACTTCTAGAAACTTTTGCTCTGGCCCACTCAGTCCTAGCGATGACTCTCAAGTGCCTGCTGCCATCGATTATCAGTATGTGGCTTGGTTCTTTTCTATCTTTGTTTTACTTAAAAAAATTTCGTTTGATAAACTTATGGTTTTGAACACAAATTTACTTGTATGTAACTGAATTTGCAGCATTTGTTGATAGTTGTGATACTAACAATAGAAATTGTTGGGCTAATATAGATTAAAGTGGATACAGTTCTCTTTTGCAGGAGGATGAGTTTCACAGGCTAGCTAACTCCACAATCCATGATTTACAAGAGAAACTTGAGGTAAATCGCATGTGTATTTCATGTATTTAGCATTATACAATCTTGCAGTGCATCTTTGTTGTTAGTATTTTAATAATTTAGCATAGAACTGCAGCTTACCTTTCTTCTTTGGACATTCTGTTATGTTTTATAAAATAATCGTATTTGTGTATCAAGATTTATTCAAATGGTGTGTGTTCTTTATAACTTGTTTTTGATGTCTATTATTATAACTAATATATTATTACAGAATTTTACCCATAAAAAGTTATTTGTGCTCTATAGCAATGGGCACAACCACATTTAATTTTTATGAACTTTTTTCTTTGATGCCTGGCAGGAATATGGTGATATTGTCCAAATTGATGGATTTGATGTAGACTATGGGGTGAGAGTGGTTTATTAGCTTTTGGAGTCGGCTGATTCTTTTTTAATGCACTGTATCCATTCCTCATATAATTTTGCTTCAATTTGGCAGAATGAGGTTTTGACCCTGAAGCTCGGAGCTTTGGGTACTTATGTGTTGAACAAGCAAACACCGAATAGACAAATTTGGTTGTCTTCTCCAGTGAGGTATGAATTTATAATTACCCATTTGTTTTATTTGTGACTTTGCTTACTTTAGTATCAGTGATATATAAGGTTGAATAATTCTTTTCAGTAGTTTTCTCTGGTATATTCATATACTGTTACATGTGGCTAGGTTCCAATTTGTGAATGAAATAGGAACTTATTATTTGCTTTTAAACTGCAAATTTTAAACTAATCCCTTGATATTGTCATCATTTCACCACTTCTCTGGCAGTCATTCTTGAAGGATTAAAGTAAATTTCCATCTGGAAGTGTCCTTAAGTGTGATTCTCATGCTCAAAACTTGTGACCTTGAGATTGGAATGTAATATCCACGTAATCAAGACTTGCATTTTGTTAACACGGTTCTTCGTTGTGATTGAATTCCTGTTAACAATTGCTTATGTACATATGATGCCAAGATATATTCAGTTTTTTTTTTTTTTTTTGTTCCTTTGTTTTCTATATTTCTTTCTTTCTTTCATCTTAAAGGTAATGTTCTTTATGCAGTGGTCCTTCCAGATTTGACTGGGATCAAAGTGCTCAAGCTTGGGTTTATAGACGCACTAGAGCAAACTTGCTGAAAATGTTGGAAAGTGAGTTGGAGCAATTATGTGGTGAGCCTATCAATCTTTCGTCAAATAGTTGAAGGTTCTGTAATGTATTACTCTATACAAGTTTTCCTTTCTTTTTTACATATTAGTCATGAGGAAGTTTTGTTGTCAGTTCACTAGATAATATATCTGTTTATTACTTTCATTTTCTGGGTTTGTAACAACCTATTCAGGATCATAAGCACTTTCTCACAAAAATAATGTCAAACACAGTTCAAAACTTTGGTGCCTCTTGATTCGTGAATGTGAAATAAAGCCTTCCAAACTTACGTTTAAAGTTACACCCATGTCGACAAGATTTACGATACAAACAGGGAGGTTGGCTGAAGCTAATTTTGTATGTTCTCCCTGGTTAAGCATGTACAGTTTTGAGATATTAACAAGGATATATGAAGATAAATGAGGAAGTTCTAAAGCAAATGATCATAATCATGGAAGATGTTGAACTAGAAAACATTCCATAGTACTTAGAGATTTCAGTGAACAACACGAGCGTATCAAGAAATTGAGGAACTACATAAGTTAATACGAGGAAAATGTAACGTCAAATTGAATGAATGGATTTAGGTGGTTTATTAATCTTTCATTTTATATAATATGTATTGAATCACGTAAACAACTCCCAATTCTGAAAACGCATTTTATATTAAAGCCTTGCAATTGAACAGGTAGATATCAGCCCATGATTGATGTTGGTGTAATGTAAATGCATTTTATTGTACAAAGAGCCTTTTGAGTCACCTTCAGGTTCGAGTACAAATGGGAAGTCATGTCAGCAGAATCCCAAGATGAATACAATCTTATAATATCTCCATGGATGTTAAGAAGCGTACAACCACCACCACACATAAAACTTTCTCCTCAAACCACTGAACTAATCTCCACCACAAAACCCATTCGCACTTGATACTTTCCCTCTCACCCATGTGATGTGATCATTCTTTTATTACATTTCAACAAAGAATCCATAACAACCACCGCTAAACACTCTTGATATTTAGACTATGTTTTGTTGATGAATTTCCTCAACCACAATTTCTTCTCATGCTTCTGTTCATTCTATTTATAATTTATAGTTTGATTTCTTAAAACATAAGTTCATCCCACTTTGATGTGATGGCCGGCCATAACCATTATCTGTTACTTTCAAAGATCCTAATTTTTGTTAAATGAAGCTATAGATATAAATATTTATTTTGTAAAACATAAAAAATAAAAATTCATGAATATCTCTTGAACCGATGTTATAAAGCAGCAAGAGGTGGGTCAATTAGGCTCATAGCCATGGTCACTTTACAAGCAACAATACGTGCCTTTAAATTGGCCTTGCGATTCTCTGACACTGATATTTTGATTGACTGGTGATCACCTCATTCTCACCAAGCAATCAATCAGGTGGCTGGTATAGAAAGTTGCATGTTCTTTCTCTGCAACAGCACCCACTGACTAGTACGAAATTTTTAAGGCTGCTATAGTGCTATTTGTTCTGCCATTCTGCTGCACCATATACCCTAACTTTTATCACATTCATCCCAATTTCAAATTTTTTCTACATCCACCCCTGTAAACTATATCAACAGAAAACATTTATGTATTTGTTTTTACTCATAATCACATTATAAAGCCATGCAACTATTTCAGCAAGAGAAAAATGTTAAGACTAGAGTTAATGAAAATCTAACATATTTTCCAAATCCATTCAATTAATCTAGTCCAAGAAAACCCCTAATACGGAGGATAAACACATCAGAATCATATATATTCCATACAATCTAATTTTGGAAAGAGAAATCAAAATTAAATCTCCCATTAATACAAAATTAAATCTAAGCGCCAACTGGTCATCAATCTGAGGCTATTGTTAGAACAAGTTAACTTGAAAAATATCCCAAACTAACTTAAATCGGACGGCTACACGATCCCCACGAATCAACCTCACTTAATTCCCCTTTATTTCGCTGATTACGTAATCTCTTAAGCGGCTCAGCGATAATCGCTACGGATTCCGAACGAACCGCTTCTGTTGAGTCAATACCAGCAGCCTGCATCGGTGAGGTCGTACAGTACTCCCGTTGAGAAAATGAACCGTTCTGTTCATCCTACGCAGGCCATTAACATCTGATAAATCTTAAACGTCCATTGCATTTGAAAAAATAATTTAAAAAAAAATAAAAATATGGAATCACGAAAAAGTACTTGAGATTGAAGATCTGAGGCCTCTTCACGACGCCGTTTCAACGAACAAACGGAAATCTCATCGCTACTAGAAGAACTGGAAGCCGGCGGCGGCGTAGATGCGATGGCGGACCAAGGCACCACCTGATTTTCTCCGTCCTCCACCTCATCGTCCTCTTCGCCATCGTCGTCGTCGTCATCGTCGTCGTCGTCAGTTGGTTCTTCTTGGCTCTGTCCTTCGTATTGTTGTTGACGGTTGACGCAAGTCTCGCAGACGGAAACGGTGTGACCGAGCTTTAAACCGGAGGCTTTCCAAGGAGTTAGAGAGTCGCATATATGACAGAGGAGGGTTCTAGAGTGTCTGGCAACTAGAAAGTTGGCTGCATGGACCTTGTCGTCGCACTCCCAGCAAAGGCTCGCCTGATCAGATTCGCAGTACGTTCTCGCCCTCGATTTGCACAGCTCACAGTTGTTCATTTGTTGTTTGCTTTGATTTATTGCTAATTTTCTATTTTCTTTTATTACGCTTTCTCGGGAATTTCCTCTCTCTAGTTTGTTGGAATTCTCTCTCTCATCTAGCGCTGCAGAGGAAGTGTGAGAAGAAAAAGTGAAGAGGGATGGAAGGTGAACAAGTTGCAGTGGTTTACAGTTACAGACTTGCTTTTGCGTTAAATCACGAAATTAACCTTGAACTGTCTGCTTTTCTGTAGAAGACCAAAATATCACAGTTTAAGAATAAAAACTTAAAAAGTTAACAGTATTTTCGATTTTTTTTTTATATTACTTAATAAAATAGAATAATATTACGTGCATAAATTGTTAAGTTAAGCGTGATAAAAAGTCATCATTCGCCAAAAAACAAAAAATTAAAAAAATAAAGAGATTGAGTTTTAAATAAATATATTTTTAACCATTAATATTTGTGCCATCTGTTTAACAAATTATTTAACATTTCTTATATCATAGGTATAAAATAACTTATATTTCTTCAATTACCATATTTTATATTAAATTAATATTATTATATGTATAGCATAAATACACAATAAACAGAAACAAAAATTTATAAAGTATAATCTAACGAGAACATTAAAGAAAAAATGTATTAGTAATAAACAACCAATCAAACTCGTTTTATGAAACAGGGGTGTAACAGTCATTTCAATTACACCATCTTATACAGAAACACAGGAGGACTTGGGGTCTGCGCAAATACGCCATCGAACCAGAGGCTGTGGTGTAGGTGAGTGCCAGGTGTTGGCTTAAGAGGGAACAATGCGTTTTGTGGTCAATACGTAACATGCCGCTTTGTTTAGCCTTGGCTTGGCTGGGATTTGTTTCCTGGGTTCGATGCAGGTGTTTTTGCCCTTCTGATTTGATAGTGACGTGTTATCCAGGTGGCGGGTTTGTAGTTGGAGATTCCGATTCGCTTACCTGGCGTGATTTGCTTCAATGGAGGACCTCATCCCACGTGGTCTGTACCTGATTTGCTATCCGTGACGTGTTCTTTGGACCCCGCGATTCCTCTTGCAATTACCATCTACTCTACATTGTCGATGAAGATAAAGATATGGATTACTTCACACGCGCTTTTCATGGTAGTACATATCACTCCTACCTATTCATTACAATTTATATAAAATTATTTAATTTGTTTGTTCTAGATTGTTCTCTAAGGTGGCTCGATTCCCTTTTTTATTGTATTATATTATACTAATTAAATAATAAGACAATCACAAATGATATATCAATATATGTAGAAAATTTGCAATTACTTAGATGTTTAAACATAATGTGTAATTATGCAGACATTGAAAATAATAATTAAAGTTTAATACTTTGTATGAATTGAATCAAGACGTGTTAAGTTAACAATATTTAATAATTAAATTATGAATTGAGTCCTATTTAACATCAAGTTTTCCAATGTCAAAGAATAGAAGAATTCAAACTTTACAACTCAGAATATATTCAAACACACAAGTCAAAAGCTTATAAGACTTGGAACTCATATTTAGAGATGAAAAACTGAACAAGGCAACCAAGAGTACTGGCCAATCCTACTGCAGACGAAAAAAAAGAAGCGTTATGGAATTGGGTTGGGCTGGATGAACAGCGCAAAGTACAAGAGAAATGTTGATATTGGGCTGATTCATTGTCACCGGTCTTCATACAAGTCCATGACCAGAAGATAAAAACTTTAAAAAGTGGAAATGCGTCGACAGCAGGGTTCGAACCTGCGCGGGCGAAGCCCAACAGATTTCAAGTCTGTCTCCTTAACCACTCGGACATATCGACTTTTCGTTTGATTTTCCGAGATAGAAAATAAAGAGAAAGAAGAAATAGAAGCATATGGAAACTACCATCATGTGCACGGCAACTGGCCTCGATGATTGTCACCAACAAACATCTTAAATGCGTCTCTTCAGAAACATTGACATTGAAAGCAAAAGCAAGAGGCGCAACTTTTTCTACATACCGGAAAACGCGTGACGATGTCGATATTAGAATAAAGAGAAATAGACATACTAATTAGACGACCATGACCTTGTTTGCCACCGTCCTTCACAAAATACAGTAATCCAGCTGTTAGCATACTATAATCAGAAGTACTGAAACTCATCCCTTCTTTGTTTTGCTAAAGTCTTTCACATCCTTTTATGCTATCAATTTTAACTGGAAATTTCGATTAAAACTTATTTTTGGTACTAAGTATATGTTTTTCTACTTGTGGATCACTATTTGAACATGGTACATGGAATATATTTGGTTCATTGGGCTGTTGTTGCTTTTATCTTCAGTAAGTTATAGCTCATTGAACAGGGTACAGGGAATACATTTTCACCCATTTCACACCAGTTCACGTTATGCGATGTGAAAATTGTTGACCAGAGTCAATATGAAGGGGCTTGTAAATCAACCTGAAAGAGTCTTCTGCTAAGAAGGTAACTGACTCTTGTGAGAACTTGCTCAAACACCCTGCATAATCGAGGGAAACAGGAGAATGATTAGAACCATCTTGAATATATGCACTCTATTCACATTTTACCTATCATGTTTAGAAGGTCGATAACCATAACTTTCTTTTTCAATAGATCAGGTAGCCTCTAATTCTCATCTGACATTGTGAACTACATTCATCCTTTTAGGATCTGTCATTTTTCTTAAGCGTTTGCTGAGTCTTACTATAGATTTAATAAGATGCTTCTAAAGCAAAATCCCTGTTATGCAATATATTGCAAATGTAACTAGAGTTACTGCTTGTATATAAGAATCCACTTTTTTATTTAATAAAGTCAAGATTTTGCCCCAATTTTCAGCTTTCCTCTGTTTCTTTTGCTCTCTCAATACAATATATATGTGTGATTTGGGAATTTTATCTATGGATTACCAAATTCATAGCGAAATCTAAGGTTACTGAAATCAGTTTGTAATTTATTATTGCTATCCACAATCAATTAAAATCATTTGACTATTTAAACAAGGGGATTTGTTCAGCAAAGAGAAGAAGAAAAATACTAGAACGATACAGACATGTATAAAAGCTTCAGCAATAATGCAAGCATTAGTTACCGGGTATCATGTGCTCCTGGCATTAATATCGACTGTCACTAACAAAAGGTCTTAATTGGTCATGTCAAAGAACATTCACAGTGAAAGCAAGAGGCAGAGCTTGTTTATGTTATATGTAGGAAGCCGCGTCGAAATAGCTATTTTAGGACCATAAAAAACAACCAAAAAAAAAAAAAAAAAAAAAAAAGTGAAATGGACAAACGTAGACTACCTTGACCTCGGTTGCCAGCTTCTTCTACTATAATTCAGCTTTAACATACACCACTCAATCGCTGAACCTTATCGCGTGGTCTTTTTTCTGATGACATTTCCCAGAATTGCTTCTGGAACTTTGTGTTTGCTCATTTTCCTCAGGTTTTTCATATCTTATTATGCTGTCCATCTGTCAAATCAATTAATGAGATCTTGTAATATTTGTTTTAACAGTAAATTTCCAATAGAATTTTCAATTCTTTTATATTTTTGGTGATTTTTTTATTAGCCCTCAAGCATTAAGCAAGACTACTTTTTGGATATTAACTCTAGACTTCTAGTCAACGGGCAATTTCACCTTCTGTTAGTTGTAGTTATTAAAGGGCCAGAACGACTTACACATACCCAAAGTTTATCTAGACAATAAATTGGTATCTAGAAAGTTTTGAAACGATAAATAGGTATCTTCCGTTATGTTCTGTTAATAATTTTTCTTTGATAATAGTGAAAAGACTAAAATACCCTTGAAAGTTTAATATTTTAGCTTTTTATAAATTTAAAATTTTTTGAAAAACCTCCTAGGTTTGCTAATTTGACTAAATACCCCAATATATAAATTTTTTATAAAATAACAAAAACACCCCCACCACCGCAGTGCCAGATTCCGGCCACCACTACCGGAATCTGGCCGAAAAATTGTGTTACGACACAGACCCGTCGGATCTGTGTCGTAACATGTCGATCTGGCCTTTTTCGGCCTCGACGGCCAGACAGACCCGTCGGATCTGTGTTGTAACACTTCGATCTGGCATTTTTCGGCCAGATCGACGTGTTACAACACAGATCCAAAGGGTCTGTGTCGTAACATGATTTTCCGGCCAGATCTGGCCTTTTCCGACCAGATCAGCCACGGATCTTGCCGGAAAATGTCAGATCTACGCTTTTGACGGGTCTGTGTCGTAACGTAATTTTTCGGCCAGATTCCGGCGGTGGTGGCCGGAATCTGGCATTGCGGGTGGCGGGGGTGTTTTTGTTATTTTATAAAATTTTTATATATTGGGGTATTTAGTCAAATTAGCAAATGTAGGGGGTTTTTAGAAATTTTTAAATTTGTAAAAAACTAAAATATTAAACTTTCAAGGGCATTTTAGTCTTTTAACTATTATCAAACGAAAATCACTAACAGAACCTGACGGAAGGTACCTATTTGTCGTTTTAAAACCTTTTAGGTACTAACTTGTCGTTTCGACAAACCTTGGGTATGCGTAAGTCGTTTGGCCTTATTAAATGTGGATATACATTTATCTCACACCATATGTACTAAGTGAAACTTGCGAATCATGTCGCTTGTAAATGAACTTAAAAATTGTTATGCCTAAAAAAATCAGGGGCTGATGCAAGCTTACGTTAGCAAGTATTAATTAAAGTTTAGAAAGACTTTGTACCGTTCAGGAGTTGCCATGTCGCCTGAAGACAGAAAGAATATAGTTGTCATCAACTTGGCAAATTCAGGTTTTGTCTATGAGTGAATAGGGGCCACACACCTGTCCAAGCACCACACGATTTAAGGATATCTCCTATGTAATCAGCTAATGGGAAGCAAGGTAGGAATTGTACGGTACCTATCCATTTGCTGACTTGTAATCATTAACTTGAATCACTCGACTATAAATAGAGGACTCTCTCTCTCATTTTCAGGATTCTGATAGTAAAAACTATACTCCAATTGTATCTCAGCTTGCTATACGCGACCTGATTGTAATATCTCATATATACAAAAACAGTGAACGTAGGATTCGTTTTGAGCATCCGAACCATTTTAAAAATCATTTTTTATTTATTTACTGTATTAATCATTCATGTGTAATTTCTAAGAGCATCTTAGCACTTTGCATGTGCGAGTCGTTGGTGTTAAAATC